ATTGGGACCATAATTCCCGCAACCCAATATTTTTTGCAGGTCTAAAAAATTAGCATAAAGAAAATTAATTAGAAAATTGCCTTGCCCTTAGTTCTGAAAATGCAGTCCTATGGCTTCCACTGGGTAATTTTTCCTCTAAATATCATTGTTCATGTTATCAAAGACTGGACACTCAGCTAGCTTGTAAAAGCTATGGCCATTATCCTCTGACTGTGGTGAGAGATCAAGTAATTTTGTTGCTGTGGTGGGCAGGAGGGGTGGAGCAAGGACAGCAATATTGTCTAGGCTATCCTTAGTGACCTTAAATCTTTATTGACCTTAAATCTGACATGCAGACAGACATCTCAGTGGCATGAAAAGCAATGCTGCCAAATAAAGCAAGTGCATGACAAAGTAAGGGACACCCAAATGCAAACTCTTCTTTTGACACTGCTGTTCGTGGGGACGTACAAAGGTGCAGTTTTCTGTCCCAGAGTTTCCACACCACCGCAATGGAAAGCAGCAATCCCAGCACCTCTCTGCTGAGAATGATAGAAACAGTAACCAAGTCATTTTTTGGACCATGTGGATCTTCAGAAGCAATTTGAAAGGAAAAATACTGGCTCTGTGAACTAGTTGAGGAGACTTTTCGTGATATAAGACAGGAAAGAAATGCACAGAAGGCTGCAGAAGAGCCCAGGGCAAGTGGTGTGGCGGAATACGGGACAATGGTGTTTTGTAAAATGGAGAATATACCAATGTGACTAGCTGAATAATGGAAACATGCTTTCTCTTTGGCTTGGAAAAAGGGATGGAGGGGAGGAAATCTGTAAATTCCAGTGTGCCAAGCAGAAGGCAGCGATGGAATGACCATTCCCTGCCTCCTCCAACACAAGAAGCGTGGTGAACTGCTGATGGGATTTCCAGGTAGCACGTTCAAGATGAACAGCAGATTCAGAAAGAGATTAGGTAAATCTGTGGAAGAAAACACCATTAAAGGCAAGAAAACATAGCAGCAATCCTACTGGCTCAGAAAGTCCCTGAACTGTGTAGGGTTTGTCAGGGGAGCATCCCTCGGTGCTTGCCCTGTTCTTCCATTCTCTCCTATGCGGTGCTTGTTCACGATCCGGTACCGGGCTAGACAGACCTTTGCCCTGAGCTAGCATGGCTGTTCTCAGGTTTTTATGCATTTATACTGGAAACTGCTCTGTAACTCACCTGTATTGGGAGATAGGTGACACCACCATAATGTACATGTAAAGCAGGCAATTTGCTGTCCTCGCCAGCTGCCCCTAAGGGCATGACCTGAAACCTGCACCTAAGAGCAGGACGTGAAAACGTTATCACTACCCCCTTGAGAGAGACCAGGGACAAACGCATCTGTCTGAAAATAATAACACTTTATTTGATTCTTTTTTGTTACATTATCATAAATGTTCTCTATTTTGAGAAAACAAAGCCCTAGTTTGGAAAATAATGCACATACAAATCTCTCACAGGTATTAAGTATACAGAAATATACAAAGATATCTCTATTATTGTAATGTATCATCAGAATGCCCCACATCCCACATTTTTACTCAGGTCCACTGTACCAGTAAGCATAAACTACAGAGGTAACAAGCAACCTGAAAAAGACATGGTTGATATAATATCATTATATATGTGTATGTGTATGTGTGTGTGTATATATATCTACAGCAGTGCAAATATATCACAGCGTGCAGGCAGCAATAGTCTCTAGAGAAGCATAATAAAATTGATTCATAGTAATGCAAATGCATTACAGAAACAAGAGACACCAATTATATAGTAGATATACAGAATATGCACACTTTAGCACGCTGATTTAAAATGTTACTTGCATTGACTCTTGCTTTAAAAACAAAAGAACAAATGTTAAATAATTCAATAACAGATTCAAGGGTAGTACCTCACAACGAGGTCAACTGACTGAGATAAGATATTGCACAAATCTTTACTGACATAGGTAAAGGCTTGGCTATACTTCAAGACTTGTTGCTTTCTTTTTATATATATCAATGTAATTTTCTCCTTAAATCTCATTTACTAACTTTTACCACAATTTAGGAGCACTTTTTCAATATTTTCTTAAATTGTTCAGCAACTCATTCACATTTGTAAGGGCTGGTATGACTATCATTGAACCCAAGAAAGCTGCTTTTTTGAAGTAATAGAAAGGAGTTTGTATAATAATCAAATTAAATGGACTCCTAAAATAAGTTAAAGTGGGGTTAAAAAAAATGGACTTCACAGATGCCACTGTAGTAACAAGCCTTGTCAACTTTAAAAGTAAGACTTCTGTGTTCCCTTACAATCTGCTTAAAAAGACATTTTAGATTTTTAGATTTCGATTTTTTTAGATTCTTCTTGAAAGAGTGGTAGTGAAGAGAAGCACACCTTTAGATCTAGAACTTCAGGTATTCACTAGTTCACGTAAGTTTAAAAAGTTGGCCGCTTATCTCAAAGTATCTTGCACTGTTCCCAAAAAGCTCATTTTTGCCAGTCAGGTGGATAGTAACCACAAATACCCCACAAATAAGGGCGTAAGCAGTTAGTAAGCAAGGAAGGACCTGCTCAGAGGTCTAGCACAAAACAAATGCTTAACAAAAGCTTGATGTATCTTGTGGACATAAATAACACAAAATCTGGGCTGGCAGGCTGAGCCACAGGAATTGCTTTTGCCAAAGGATACCAATTTGGACTCGTCACCCTTTGTTTTACAATTGTGGCAAAGGGTCTCAAAAGAATTCTAATCTCTTAAGGCTCTATAACCGACAACTCCGAACGATGACTTTAATTATAACTGCAACATTATGGTTCCCTGTAACGTTTAAGAATAATAAGAAAAAAAGATGCCAGATTTCATGCTCTAAAGTACCACTACTCTTTCACAAAAGCAGCATGGAATGTGTACAGAAATAGAAATATGCTAACATATACAGTTAAAAGCAAAGTTGTCAGGCTTGCAGACTCAAACTGCAACTTTTGGACGTGTAATATGCACAATGATATCTAATTAGTTTTTATAAACTACTCAGTGGGATCCGTTAAAATGATCTCTGTGTATTACAAAAACAGGTATTTAAGAGTAGGACAGTAGGGGTTGATCCTGGAAAAAGCTAACAACCTTGTCCCTGAAGCAAAGCCCACGATTAACTTCAGTGACACTTAGCACTTACTTTACAGACTCACTAGGGCTGTGCGGCAGAATTAACAGGACCAATGTCATGGGCAGAGCAATGATCAGCCTGTCACCAACTGTTACAGAGGACATGACACAGCATCATTTTCTGCCTGCTTCTAGTTCCCCAAGGCTTTTCAAAATGCCTTTGTTAATACCGTTCTTTAGAAATGGCTTTCCGTACAGAACAGCGGGAATGCAATTGCTGTACAGTTGCACCCCATTGGGGTGCTCTGGTATGAAAATGGATGCACACAGGAACATCATTCGTGGCCTCAAAGAAAAGGGGACAGCCTGTGGGGCAATATCTCTGCAGCTGCCACTCGCAGCCACTCCACAGAAATACAGAGCCATCATCTACCATGGTTACCCTGCTCTGGAGGAGCCTGAGGGTTAGCACCAAAAATAACCTCAACATTTTCTAATATTCCTGCTTTTGGTAGGAATCTTTGCTGCCCTATGTGAACATTAAAGGGACCAACAGTCATAACCGTCAGAGTTCAGAATGAAATTCTGACCTTTCTCTAATTTACAGTAGGGCTGTATAAACAGAGTAACTTAAATCAACCCACATCTACTTGTCCAAGTATGCTGAGGTACCCACAATCCAAGACCAGTTTTAACAAAAGTTTCCATTTGAGCAATGAATTACTTGACCTTGCTGCTCCAAAACTCTAAGCACCAAAGCTTTAGCTAATGTTTAAATGTACGGAGACTCCTCTCCCTTAACTTGAGCTGTCCACAGGTGGGCAGCTAACCAAAGGTACTTGCCTAGGCTCCCTCAGCAGTCAGTGCAAGAGTTGCATACCTCTCATGGGCAAAACATCTCACTGGAGCATACTTTTTTGTGAAATTATCTACGTCTGAATCCTGTCTCAGGCTGGGCACAAAGCAGGTGCTTAGGAAAGATCATAAATGAGATGTTAGGATCAGTGTAAGAATTGCTTTCTGTAGGTGCCTCTCTAGTCTCCGCTGCCTAGAGAGGTCATACCCACCGCTGGGCAAACAGCTGTTACTGGCTGGGCTCCAAAGCGCACCTACAAGCTTTGCATCGCTGGTGCCTACAGGCATGCTCAGCACCAGGTTAGGATTTGACAATGCAAAAGATCAGTGAAAAACTGCAGTTTAATGTCCCAGCACTAGCGTCATGGGGGCTAACAAAAACACTACGGCACAGCATGCAAGGTTAAACAGCAACCAGCACACAAAATGACTGAAAATAAAAGCTCTCCCAGTGCTACAGATGGAGCAGGTCATATTTGAGTAATAGAGATCCTGGGTGAACAGTGAAGGTCTGATCAAAACCATTTTTGCCATATTAATCACTATAAGATTTAACTTAACATTCAGATCCCCACAGCGCAACACAAACGCAGAGTTAGGAACCACTGCCAATTGTAACAACGAAACAAACCTAGAGACAAACTTCCCGAAAAATAATTCACTCCTGGGCTGGTAAATATAGGGCTAGCTAGGAGCACAGACGAACTATTGCTGCCTGGAAGAGTAGGATTCATCTCATTTCACTGTAGCTCTCATCTTGGCGTCTCACCTAAGTCAGTCACCTGCTTCGAGTTTGCGACAACTCTCCACTCTCCCTCTCACTAAGGGACCGGTGCCTGAGGTAAGTCTGCCTGAGACAAGTCATTTTTCCTGGACATGTCCATTTCTTTCATTTTACTACAGAGAAATGCAAATGATGAACTTAGACCGGGCCTCCCATTTTTAGAGAACTTTGGTGAGACAATCCATCTCCAAAAACACTATTCAGTTGATGGGACATAAAAGCAAAAAAGAATTGCATTTCCTTGGCCCAGTCAGGGTAACCATAGTGAAAAACAGTGAAAAATAGTGAAAAATGCACATCATTTCCTTTCCCTCCGCACCTAGGTCTTCTCAGCCAGGCCCGTGCTGCACCTGGCCACTGCACCCCAACCGCCATCCTCGCACTCAGGAGGAGGCTCTGCCTCGCTGCCACTTCTGCAACTGATGCCCTTTCTAACCACATTCACACAAACTCACAAAGCTTGGCCCAAAACAAAAATAGCTCATTCGGAGAGCTGTCCTGTTCAGGAAAGTATCTGTGTGTGCCTAAATCCCACCCAACCCAAGACACTGATGTGCGTGTGTTCAAAAACTTCCATGAATGAGGAAACATCACAGCTGAGTCAGTGCCAGACTGCAACAGAAAATGCTGTATTCAGCCGCTACGAAGAAGACTCCAGGCCAGCTCCCACTGCACTAAGATCAAGGAGCATCAGAGCAGATCCACAGCGTCAAACACTGTCTTCTTGCTAAACCTCACAGGACTACCTTTCACCCAATAACAACAACATAAGAACAAATCCAGCAGTGATGGGGCGGTCGCTTGCATTAGGCAGGACTAATACACGCGATCCTCTCCCCTACACGGCCATGAAATGAGACTGGTAATAATACAACTTGGTGACAAAGAGATCGCAGGAGGCTGCAGAAGAAAGAGGCGTGCACATGGTTTGAATCCTTCTCACATGGATTTTCTGGGAAGCTGTTTGGACACGTAAGCTTGCTGCACCTTAACTCTCTTGCTCTGTCCCGTGTTACCCTTCCTGAACACAACTGGCACAAGGCAGGAGACAAAAGAATAAAACTGTATTTCAGTGAAAGCTACACTGAAAAAAAACTAAGATGCCTCCATATTTAGATTTGGGAAGTAAAAGTAAATGCTGACACTTTTAGAATATAAAGCAGTCCTGCAGAAAAAAAATATAAAGTTCATTTTCTTCTTTACCAAAGTTGTGCAGATAATAAAAGCAATGCTGCAAGTCACAGTAAATATATAGAAAAATATACACTTCTCTCTATGCTTGGTTTTCATTCTCCTCTTCCCCTCAAAAAAAGGATTCTGTGATTCAAAAAAATTATTTCAAGATTAGTGTAATGCTGTCATTTCACAGAGGATAACCCAAAGCAAATGAGCTTCTCACTGTAGTCTCTGAGTCTGTTTACACAGCCAGCATCTCAGTCTTCCTGTGCAATATGTCCATCACCAAGCAAAGCACTTAAGCCTAGGCTTCATTTTAAAGACATTAGTTGTTCCTTTGATTCAGATGGTACAACAGAGATGTGAGAAGTTACTAATGAACTTAAGTACTTTGCTGGAACAGGGTCTCAAAGGATCCCATTAAAGTAGAAGATATCCATCTCAGGTTGAGTAGCCAGGACAGTAAATAGGATCTCCTTCTGTGAGAATCACTGAGGTTGTACAGGTCAGTAGGTACCATTATAGTTTTTCTAAAACCAAACGTTTAGCAAAATATTCATTTCTGTTGTCAATACGGACATTGACACAAAACGGAAAATTGACATGCCAGTCATTTGGTATGTCCACTACCTCAAACTCAAGTATTCATTATCTCACACTTACATAACCAGATTTCCCTCTTTTATATATACATTTTCTTCTCCTTTAACGAGAAAAGGGATATTTTGAGCTCCAAATATTAAAAAGTGAACAGGATTTCAGCACTAGATGTTTTTGTTACTCCCCTTGATCCACAAAGATGAAATTTTCTCAAATCCTTACAAGCAGAATACATTTTCCAAATCTTTTATTTAACTGCAAATAAGAAATTTTAATATTGTTTTTTAAAACTTGCAGGCCTTCTCAGTCTATATTCAAGTTTCAGTCAAAAAAAAAATGAAGAGCAAAAAATCGTAACTGATGCTCAACTGATGCTTAACTGAAGCAACACGTCACAATGTAACTGCACAAAACAAGTCAAAACAAAACAAGGAAGCCAACAGAATACAACAGGAATGATACACTCAGTCTTCAAGAGACCTTTAAAAATATTTGTGCCTCTCATGCAATTTTTAGTCAGATTGTGACCTCATTCAAATGGTCATAATGCAATCGATTCACCCAATTTATAGTTATTTATATCAGTTGAGGATTTGATATTTTTAATCTTATTGGCTTCGTTATTCTTCAGCATGAAGCCCCCAGTGTTTGACAATGTTCTTGCTTACACTCCTGCACATGCAAGCTCAACCCATCAACACGGGAATGCTTTTTATACCAGCCTATTAGAATTTATTTCCATATAAAGGGAAAAAGACCAAGTTGAGTGTATGGTAAAAACTTTGTGGCATACAAAAATATAATTGGGATGAACTTAAAATATTTCTGTCCCAAAGTTAACAGCAGAAGAGACATCACTTGTTAATTTTAGAGCTAAGGAAGGAAAAAATGATTATCTCATTTATGTGCAGCACTGAGTTTCAACAGACTTAATTTATTTCTTTACTGGGATACTACAGTCTGAAAGTGTTCCTTAGAATAGTAACTTTCAGCAAAGTGCTCTACAGCAGATGGCTGACAAAAAAGCATATCTAACAAAAAAGGAATGATGAAAATATTCCACAGCATACATTTGCTTAGGAACACCCATGGAGGATCAGACGTTTGACTACCACAGTACAATAGAAAGTTCAGTACAGGAGGATATGTTACAGACTAAAGAAGTCAAACAAGAATGTCTACAAATAGAGGTATAGGCACAGATAACAAGACAGCATCCAGGGAGCTCATTCTGCTATACTGGGACAAGATGGGAGAAGAGGTATTTTCACTGTTTAAGTCAACAGTGCTGAAATACCAGTCTTATCAACAAGGTTATTCTGTCTGGTAAACTGCAAGTGATCTTCAGTCTGGTATTTGGTAAATTAGTGTTGGTAAACACACAACACATGCCCTGAATATATTTAATGCCGTGATTGTCCCACTCTTTCCTAATCAGCTAGCCTACAGCTGGACTAGCAGTGTGCAACCAAAGAGTAATTTGGCAAACGTAGTCTTTTATCTACTTGCAAATAGCTTTTGAACAGTTTGCAATATTCACAAATATTCTGAGAGTCCTCAAATAATCAAGTCATGTTTTGTCAGGAGATTTCAGCTTCTGATTTGCTGACAAACTGTTGACAGTTATGAATATTATTTATAATAGCCAAAATCCTTCATTTCTTATATCTGACAGCCATGTAGGCCCATAACTCCTTTTGATTATGCCTGCAAATGCTGCAGAACCCCATGACAGCTCTGCTGGCCCTAGGGAGACTTTATGAAAAAGCAGTGAGCTCCTGCACCATGTAAAGAGGTTGTGTAAGTTTTTTTTGGTTTGGGTTGGGTTGGGTTGGGTTTTTTTTCACTTCTACAGTAAAGATTGACCTTGTTTTCACAGATGAACCTTTTTTCCAGGGAAAGTTCAACTAACCTTCCTGAAAGATGTGACTTGACTTCAATCGTTCAGAACACAGGCTTAACTTGAGCATTTTGAGTTTAATAGAGCTACATATAGTCTATGTCTGTATCGGTAAATTAAGCGGTCCTGAGTATGGGCCAAAAAGAACTGGAAAACAATTGTCTTTACTGCTGAATGGCAGAGCTGCAGCCTAGGCCATCAGAGCTCTTCCAGATAATGTTTCGGCACTGTTCAGAAGTTAGCACAGTCGGGGACCATTCCTATCAGTCAAAGGCTTAACAGTATGGACAGACTGTGCAAATCGACCAAAAGGCCAGAGAGCCGGCCTCGGCACTGTTTAGTTTACTAGTACAGATGTAGCCACGGAAAACATTTTCCTCAGAAATAGTCTGTGAATTGTGAGTACTAGTGACCAGCAGATGCAAAAGGTCTCTCTTCAACTTCTCTACTGTCATGAGTTGCTGAGCTCCTGAATGGTTTGCTGATACTGAGCTGCTTTCAATTTACAAGACTTCTTAAAATTGTATCAGCTTCCTGATAGAAATAATGCATTTATAGACTCTGTGCATCTGACTTGAATCTCTACAATACTACGGTAAACATATAACCGCAAAAGGTAGTGGAATTCGCACAGGAGTTTACCAGGGCATCCAACATGGGTATGGGTCCCATGCTTTCATTTCAGGTTGAAAGCTCAAATCCCTGAAACTCAGTGACAAAATTTGCTTCAACTTGGAACGAGGAGTCCCCCTGCCAAGTTTGCAAGATGAGATATGCAAACAAATGCATGCCCCATATAATGGTTTCATCAGTGTTTATAGATCAATAAGCTATCAATGCCCATGTGACGCATGTAGACTTGGATGAGAACAAAACTGCTTGGCATAATTAGCCCTGCCCTACTACACTGCCCTTGCATATTTGGAGGACAACCCTACGTGTAATGTGTTACAGGTATTTTGAGTACTGCCACACGAGGCAGTCACAAGCGTTTCTACGTAATACCCCAAGCTTTGCGCTATGGATAGTTCTGTCATGCCATGAGACTTTAACAGTCCCTCAGGCTTTAGGGATAGATTCTGCTTCCACAATTTAAGAGAAAATGAACCCTGGAGCGCTTTGCTGTTTTTGTTCACAGGAGGTAGTTCAAATGGATAAAGAACAGAGTTAGTATTTTAAATACCACAAATATGGAGGATTTAAGACACCTAAAAAAACCATTTTTTTCAATCATCCAGCAACAGCTTGAATGTGCTTGACTGCCTGTGCTATCTACTGTTGTTTCCAAATATGGACCACAGCTTTAGTGCAGACTCAGAATTTGCCTTTTCATCCTACCATTACAATTTTCAGATATGAGACCAGCTCAACAAGTAAAGCACCAAAATTCTAAATTTCGATAGAACAAAAATAGTGACTTGAATCACTTTAGTTTTTTCTTTTGTTTTAAAAAAGTATCCATATTAAAAAGATAGCTTTTTCTTATTAATTAATACATTTACAGATTTTTGGACAGAAGGGGTAATTCTGTGGAAAAGAACTGCAAATTAATACATAGAAAACAGCAAAGATGAAATTTTGAATTTTAAAAGATGACAGAAACCTATTTTCTTTGCATCCCCCATTTTGCATCTCATTACCTTGTCACCTAACGATGACATTCTACTATGCTGGCTACCAGGACCAGTATTACCTTATCACAGAATTGGTTTTCATAAGGAAAGTTCCTGTAACCACGTATTTTGTTACAGTTACACTACCTCAGTATTGAAATTCTGTGTCATAAAATTCCCTTCTATTTCTTCTTCCTAGTTAGAGCTAGAAAGAGTAATGAAAACATGACCCAACCCAACTGGACTGATTGGCTTAACACTATATGTCCGCTATCCCAATGCGGTTCTCTATGGGCTAGGTCATAACAGCATCTAGCTGGGCACTGGAGACCGGCCTGCCACAGTGAGACAATGTCAAGTGCCCTCTACTGCATGTCTAAAGTTTTTCCTACTGCGTTGTTATAGTTGTTTTTTCCTTTACCTCTCTGCTCGGATTTTGTATCTGAGGACAAAATAGGCAATTAGGCGCAGAGAGAAGAAGAAAATTCCGAGCACAAGGAAGTCCAGGTAAAGTTTGGCATTTTCTACGTCTAGTTCTCTCAGAATTGCCTCTGATTTTTGAAAATGGCAAGTATCATCTTTGTCACAATGCAGATCTTCTCGATCCAGTCCATAGATGGAGAGAATAACTCCTTCGAACCCATATCTGGAAAGGAGAAAGATGGATTACAAAGTAAAATGCTGATGACCCGTTTAAAAGTACTGCAGCAGCAAAATACTCTCTCTGAGAGCTTGACTGGAAATGCTGAAGGGTTCAATATTGCTCTGACACGTGTCTCAAGGCAAATTCTCTCCCCTGTTACAGTCAAGCAAATCACATGTCACTGGCATTTTGCATGAGACTGAACAAGGACAGAAGTTCTGCCTTTAACAGCTTTCAGTTAGTGTATAGTGCAATTTCTCAAAAGGAAAATGTTAAAATATAAGGCAGACTAATTTCAGCTTGTATTCAGGAATTATTCTTCAATTTAAAGTGGCATCATTAATTCCATTTTTTAAAACTAACCAGCAGGGACACAATTATGATATGAAGTCAGAAATTTATTCAAAATACGATCAAACTAGAATATCTCTTCTCTTACCTGCTGTGCTATACTTTCACTAGCTAATAATGAGCAGTTTCCATGTCCCCCCTGGGACTGGGTGCACACAGGATTTGACTTTGCTAGCAGATACACCAGCACGGTCCCCATGCATAGGCTAGCTCTCCTCAGTTTCAGGAGACTCTCCTGAACAAGAGAGACAACTCTGGGCTGGACAACTCCCTTGCGGCCTGATTTTGAATTCTAGTTACTAATCCAGTGGGTGCAGCCTCTTAATCTTTGATAGGCCTCTGCGTAAGACCTCACTTGTCAAATGAGAGGAGATTTTAGCTTGGCTTTTGTTAATAGTAGTGCAGTTCAGAGGACGACGTGGGAAAAGGGGGACCGGCGCTGGAGGATAAACCTACAAACCTATTTCCTCGTAGTAAAATGGCTCTACAAAAACACGAGTCATATACAAAATGGTGGTTAAAGGACTGTTTTCAGGGACCCACGTAACTCCCTCCACAACGTCCACTTCCTGATCACTTCAGTCCACAGCAAACCCATTAGCCACCTTCAGAGGAATTCATCTCACCTAATTACAGCCCTCAGCATTTAGGAGTCTAGTCTAAACTAGTCCTCTGAGCTAGCCTCCAGAGGTTTCTTGATGGCAATCGTACCATCTTAAGATAACTGTCTCAGACAAGTAGAGTGACTGATACAGATAGGATACCTATCTCTTTCCAGTGACTGTAGATGGGGCTTAAACCACCGGTTTAGATGGGCCACAAATCCCACTCCTCTCGTGGCGGTACCACTGCAAAGTTTAAAGTATGTCTCCAACAAACCTACCTGGGATATAGCAGTGATTCAAACAACATTGTTCTTCCAAAATGAGGTGCACACTGAGGCAGCCTCATCAATTTCTCATTTGGGCACACTGTCCCTATTATTTCCCCAAACCGCTATTCCAAAATCCATGGAGATACACATGCAGTACAATCCCATTGAATTTAATGGGACTGACCTGGACCAGTGGCAGATGATTTATACTGAATGTTCCTATTTATTTCACATCAAATATAGCAAAAAATACAGTGAGATAGTATGGTATTCTTTTACACTATTTGCGTGTTTATACTATAAAGGAATGTGCTGTGAACACAGTCTCTTTGGCACCCAAAATAACCAAAAAAGCAAGCAAGCAAGCAAAAGCAAACAAACAACATTTTGAAGATGGGAGGTTAATGGCCTCCCTAGCAGTACCTGACATAGGAAATGTAGGACATCCACTGGAGGTACGTTGGAATGGTATCAAAGCTGACAAAAAACCCAGAGAACAGAAGCACTGGGATAGCAGTAACTGGGCCCACAAAAGTGGCCACCTGGGAAGGTAAAGAAAAGCCTCCTGTCAGACAGCCAGAGAAGTAACTAGAAATTAACTTGCTCTTCCATCTAATGTCTTGACCTCCACTGAGGAAAGCAGTCTTTACATGAGCAGGCCTTCTCTATGGCAAATCCTCTCTTCTGTGCTAAAGCCAGATAAGCAGTGGAAATCTGCTCTCTTAGCAGGGAGCAATGCCATTCAAATCATTCTGATAATGCTACTCCCCCAAACTATCACAGTTCCAAACACCATGAACTTACTGAATTTTTTGGACAAGGTTTCTTGGGGACAGGAGTGGTTAGAGGCTGTGAGTGGAAGAAAGGGGTTCTCTCTCCTTTCCCTAAAACCCTGCTCCCAGCTGACCTCTCTGCAGTGCTGGGATTTGTCCTTTGAGGGACCTAAACCCACCATGGAGGTGCAGAATAAGACGGGCACTGCGATTCCCTCGCTTCTCTCCATATGAGACTCTTCTTTCTACATATTATGCTCCCCACCCACTCCCCTCACAGACCTCCCTCCCCATTAACCCCACATGCACTGCAGCTTCATTTCGTCCTAAAACTTTCTGAAGAGGATAAGCAGCATCACCAGTTGGGAGGCTTTAGTAAGGAAGACAGATCTTGGCCCAGCTCCAGGCTCTCTTCTCTACATCCCCTCCACTGCAGAGGGCTGTAAGGGTATTGCTGGGGAGAGTGGAAGCACAGGGGTCACAGAACAGGGCTGTGCTGGTCTCCACAGGATGGCACAAAGCAGGACCCAAGATTAGTACTGCAGAAATTTTGACAGCATCAGCGCATAATAATGTCAACACCACCTGCTATCACATGCAATACAAAACAGAGCCCTGCTGCGGATTTATCACTTCCCCGCCACTACCGTCAGGAAGCAGGATGGAGTTACACAGCCAGCTTCTACTGTGTCAGTCACACCATGAGCTGCCTCTCTCCCTCTCTCTGCAGAGGGTTTGATTTCTGAGCACTCCTCCCTTTGCCTTGCCTCCTGCAACTTTCTCCTTGTTTGTGTATGGAAGAATCCCGTCCTGAGCACAGCTACAGATCTTCACAGCCCACCTCCTCCACTTGGTAGGTGCACAGAAATGCACCAGTCCTCCAGATTCTAGGACCTGCTCAGCCTAGGATGAATAGCAAGTGACAGCCACTTGACAGCAAGTTGACAGGCCACTCAAGCAGGGGCCTGCACAGCACCATTCAACTGGGGAAAGAGCTGTATTTCCTCACATGTACTGGGCGTGCATGCTGTTTAGTTGATGCTAGTGGGAAGTTTTTTCAGAGCAAGAGAACCTTTTGCCTGTAATCTCCCAACAAGTGCCTTGGGGACATAGCAACAGTCATGGCAAGTACTTAGTGCTGGGGGATAGTAGGGTTCCTGTGAGACTCCAAAACACCCATCAGTACCTGGAGGGATGTAGAGGCTGCACCTATCAGAAGACCCAGTGACTGAGCCACCAGGGATGTCATGGTTCCCAAGGCTGCAAAGAGGACAAATCTCAGTGCATCAGATGGCTGCGAGGTCATCCAGTACACGATGCTGCAGTAAGCTACAGGAAACATGATCTGCAAGAAGATACACATGCAGTTAGTTTATTAAAACCAAACATTCATTGTTACTCTGAATGGGATACAAACACAGAGGGAGAATTAACTAGCATTGTATGCGAGTTAACTGACAGCTCTCAGCCTCTGCATGTTACATGACAGGAATGGCATTCAGCTGAGGAGAATGAATACATCTGCCACAGACTGTCACATCTATTATATTACTCGGGAGTGAGAAAACAGATCCCACTCACTTACAGCCTTTTGCAATGCACACATAATCAAAGATGCTCCTTTGCTTATTAAAAACAAAACTGGATCATACAAACAGTTTCTTTTCAGACGGACAAAATACCAATGCTGGTCTTCCTGGCAAGTTGACTTGCCAAGAATATAAATGGTTCTTGTTTTATTGAAGACTAGAGCATATACCTGAAAAGGAACATCAGCCATGGTTTTAGCAAGATAGTAGGCTTTCAGACTGTACCAGTAGTTCAGATGCTCTCTAAGAAATACTCCCATCTCAAGAGGAACTGCAGAGAATACAAATTAGTAAGACAAGTTAGATTGTCAGTGTGTAACATTCTTGCACAAAATAACATAGCTTATCCATTTCTAACACCGAGCTGCTGCAGTCCCACAGTGGGACTGGAGCTCTCAGGCCTTTGACAGATCAGTTTGAATGATGTGTACTGAAATGTAAGAGGTCAGCCCTGAGAGTTGCTCACTGTTTACAATAATTACCAGGTTGCTCATACTCAGATCATCTCAACCTTGCTTGAAGAGGCTTTCTGAAATAAAAACGGTGTCAAAGCTTAAAGAACCTGGTCATTCCCTTTCATCAGGCAGGGAATCCAAAATAACAGCCCTCCCAGAGGAAGTATGGAAGAGTCCATATTGCAGGATTTGTTTCTAACAACACATGGTTATGATGACCCCAAGCGGGCAGCCATGAATTAAAAGTCCTAGGGAAATTATCACAGTTCCTCCAAGACCCACCACAAGCCCATGACACAGCTAAGTAGCACTGGCACATTAGCAAAAGAGGAAATTCCAGTCCAGGATTGTAACAGTGAACTGTCAGCATGGAGAAACACTGGTCTAACTGAGGGGTAGCACTGGATAAATCTCTGTTTACCTGTATAGAGCAGGTTAGTGAGTGCAGGATTTGCCTCACACCTGTCTTAAAAGTGGAAGCACAAGTCAAATGTTACCTTACATGAGACAGGCACATTACAACCCTCTCTTCTCCCACCTTGTTGCAATCTCCTTGCTCATTAATTTACCAATATGACCAGTACTCACATGTAAGGACGGTTGGCATGAGCGCAGCAAACATAAGAAACAACATGGAAAAAAAGAGGAAGCCAGAGTTGCTGAGGACCTTCTTAGCTTCATTACCAATCCCTAAGTACAGCAAGCCAATGAGCAGTCCAATTCCAATGTGTGAGGTGATACGCAAGTGCGTCAAGACCTACAAGCAAGGAAAGAGCAGTATTTCTGATCAGGACAACTGGGCTCAACAACCCCGGCAAACATGAGTGAAATCAAATAAGCAGCTTGCAGAAAAACAGTAAGTATATCCAAAAGAACTTATATAGAAATGGTCTACTAGCAAACTGGGCTTCAGCTAAGAAAAACGTACACTAATGAGCCTCCCAGTGTGTGCAGACACAAGGCCTACAGAGAATTTCTTCCTTCAGACAAAGGCAGTAACTGCAAATGCTGCAACTGGGAATCTTACTGGCTGACAGTGTCATGGAGCCGCTGGCCCTTATTCATCAGGAGAAGCAGACTTTCTCTCTGACTAAAAGATAGATTTCTCAGAGCAGAGAAGTCTATTAAGCATGGCAGAAAAGGTACTTCAGACTTCTACAGACCAAACTAATTTAATCAGGTATAAATTAGCCTTTTGTGCCTTCGGTACATTCAATATTCCTACAAGAGGTATGGAAGAACAGAAGAAAAAATAAAACATGGAATAACTGCCAGTCTTCAGAGTTAAGCAGGAAAAAAAATACATTTACTTAAAAACTACCCTGTTCTTCCATCTGTGTGTCAGAAAATAAGCTGCAGTTTCCCCTTGCTGGAAAAGAGGAGAGCACTGTATGAACCAACGGTTAGTGTTTGAACGCCTCTAAGAGACATTCTCCATGTAGAGCAGAGATATCTAAACGCCTAGCTGAGCAACGTGGAGAACGCAAAACTGTATGTATGCTTTGTGCTACATGAGCATGTTAGTTTATTTTTAACTAAGTATATGGTACTAGAACAGATGTGCAAGATATTCCAGAATAGGAGGCAGCAAAATTCAACAACTTTAATTAACCTTTGAAATGATAACTGCTCTATAATGTAAAACAGCAGCAAGGGAGAAGAACAATTTAAGATAAAGAAATGCTCTGGCAAAACAACAAATGGGCATATAGTCTAGAAATAGAAAGATGCCTCCTAATCATTAGAACAGCAAGGTTCTGCTCCGTCTTCGCAACCATAGCAGTGGGGAAAACACCTAATTGCTTTAACTATAGCACCGAATACAGTGTTTCCCTTTCCGAAAGGGAAGAAATATTTTGGTTATCTGACAGCATATGCCTGTTTCTTCCAGGCCTATAGTTCTACATGGCCATGTCTACATCACAAACAATAGTGTCTCAAAGAGATACCTCCCTGCCTTGAGGGGCAAGAGCAGTGAAGCTGCAGCATCTGCAGCTCAGTCAAGCTCAGTCTACCCTCAGTTTACAAGAGTAACTCACTCATGCTGAACTCCACATGGCTCAGCTGCTTCTGGTTTCCAACTAACTCATCTGAATCCATGTGCCACCAGTATAGATATATTGTCCCTGGCTTTCCCCTTTTCCACGGGCAGGTGTATCAAACTAATGTATTCATTGATGCATATATTGTCTTTCCCCCTACTCCTGCAAAGCACAGAATACCTTTCAAAATGCAGGAAAAAAGCAGCAGAAAAATCCTCGTCAAATTTATTAAATTGCACATTTGCCACTTAGAACAGCACTTGGCATATTATTTATACTGTACACTGGTGAGTCCCTTAGATAGGTGAGCATGCAGTGTCTAGCTGAGGAAGCTCATCTCCTTAACTCATGAGTTTCAGAGAAGGATCATCACTGAGACAGTGCAAGTACTCCCATCTCTTAAATCCACAAGCAGTTGAGCTACTCAGAGATAAGAAAAGCTTTATTGAGTAAAAAGAAAGCATCCCTTTGCATTTTGTTAATGCAAACTGAGGCAATCAAAACATTCAATGAATTTGCAGCACGTGTAGGGTTTGATTTGTGGGGGAGGAAGGTTTTTTTTTTTTTAAGAAAAAGGCGAAGGACTTTTTTTTCTTGGGAATGAAAGAGTTGCATTATGACAGTTGAATCATGATTTTAAATGCATGTAAACAGAAACATTTCCTTTTGGGAGAATCAATACTATTTTTCTGTTGATTTTCTGTTTCACCAGGAAAAAAGAAATTTAAATATTTAACTTCACATCACACTGAAATTGACTCTGTGTCACCCTGAACGTTTTGGAACCAGGAATTTTGTGGTACATTAGTGCAACTTCCCACTCACTTTGCATTAGGATAAATAACTGTATAAGGGACATGGCAGCACAAAGGGTTTTGTCTGTTTTAGATTTTGCCTTTTTTTCCTGGACACATCAGAATTCCACTAAACAAAAATGTTCATAATTAAAGCAGCAGCATTTAACGGCAAGACTGAAAGACCAGTCTCTTTAAAGCTCTGTGACGATCTTCATGCGTGGGCTGCAGACAGGAACTTTTAGGCATCTTACACTACCTCCCAATCAACTGAATAGATCTTTTGGCTACCAAAGTATTATAAAGATAGCCTTACTGAATCCCTCATGATGGTGAGAAAAGTCCTTTTGAAGAGGATGCAGAACTGGGTTAGGCAGCTGGCGGAGAAGCTGTGGCAGCCTTCTGTGGAGGACGAATCCTAGCGGAAGCACATAAAATAATAAACTCCTTTCTTTGCAGAATCTTAAGTTTTCATTCACAAAACCCACTCTCAGCAACCGAATGTACCCAGAAGCCTTCCCCATTGACAGAGGATTTAAATTCTCTTCCTCCTACTCCCAACCTCAAGCCATACCCATTACTTGCTGTATACAAAATACCTCTTCAGAAGGCCGGTGCCAGAGGAAGGGGTTCAACTCATTCTCACCAACATCCCTCTTGTAGTCTGTGTCACATATCCTCTCCTGCACGGCCCTGACCAGCCGGCTGTTCTGGTCTCCATATTCGCCAGAAGCTACTTCCATAACTACACAAAACAGAACATGAGTTCTGGTTTATACCACTGATTAGTTACAACCCTTATTGTTAGGTTCCCTTGATCCTGTAGCGTTGACAGAAAGAGGAGTTTTGTTTAAAACAGCTTCTAAAATGCCACATATAAATATATATGCGCACACACAGGCACAAACACACATATATAATTTATATGTATTTTTCTATAAAACTTTAAAGAGTTCTGTTCATCCTTCTAGAGATATAAATTATTTTAGAGAAAAAACAGTGAATATTTGATTTCCTTTGACTGGTTTTTTTTGTGGTCCTTACTGCTCCACTGGAATTAAGAAACAACAACAGAAGAAAAAAAGGTGTTCTTAGCAGTAAGATACCACAGTGGTACTTCTCATTAAAAAAAAAAAAAAGAGGAATACTGAAGTTACTTTGTAAAGACTTTAAGGTTAATTAACACGAAACACAAAAATATGTTCTGTCTTTCATTTTCTGTACCTAGACATCTGTCACAGAGAAATATTCACTAAATTCCACCACTAGGTGGCATTCAGATTACTGAGAAAAGATTGGCTTAGTTTTGTTTTGGATTTTTTGGGGAATTTTGAAACATATAGGTACACACAAACATATGTATGGATGTACAAAAGTAACACACTACAGTTCCCATTTCCTGAATATACCAATCAAATAAATAAATAAATTATTCAAGTTTTCCTTACCAAAATCTGCTGGATTGTGGTAGGTTGGACAATTTAAACCCAAATCTCTCAAGTAAGGGACTAGGTTTAATACTTTCCCACGGTAAATGCATTGACCTTGACTTAAAACATAGAGCTGAAAAATAAGACCAAAAAAAAAAAAAGAAGTTAAACACTATCAAAATATTTGAACCTGCTATGTGTTATGACAGCAATCCAGGAACTCAATGACCTCTTCTTGCCCTGTGGGCAAAACAAATTGGAAAGATTTGCTACTGCTTGGAATTGCCTTTGCATGGAATTACAGCTAATGGAAAATGTGCAGAATATTAAAAATGCTCAAGACTTGAATTCTGTAAACATTCCCTCCAGCACTAACAGCACCCTAACACAGAAATAATTCCAGCCTTAGACACGTGCTGGAAGTAGGCAAGAAACTGTAAAACTGAGCCATCTAATTTCCATACATTATGGCTATTTTTGGCTGGGAAACGAGGCTGGTGAATGCAGGAATGGAAGGAGAGATAGAGTACACAAACACATAATTTATATGTATTTATAAATACAGAGTAGAGTAATAGGAAATAGCTTGATTATTCTTGCTTTTAGCCACACTATTGACTTTAAATAAACCTCCTTGACAGACTGGCAATCTGCAAGAGCTTGTTCACCTATGGCATAGTAGGTTTCCTCTAAGCTCTCGCAGCTCTAATTTAAATCTCCTAACAAGATTAAAGTAAATTTAAATCTAACCTAAACATGCACAGTACACATGCTGTTGTTAGGTTGGAGAAAAGCTCTCCAACTAACTTCCTTTCAATTATTATTATTTTATGTGAATAGACTCTTCCAATTTTATGCCTGTGTAGCTAGGCTGAGAACGGGCACTAGCAATAAGGCAGACATTTACCTAAAGTTCCCTTACTCTTAAATTACCTCTCATTTACTTTATTGAGAGCCATGTCCCCAGGAATGGTGGTGGGTGAAGACATGAATATTGCAAGTGTAATAATCGCGACTTTGCAAACATACCAACTTTACATTTATGTAATGTAAACAGGCATAGAAGAAGAAAAATAAATAAATCAACAAGTATATTTTGCTCTGATTTATTGAAATTTATTTATTTGATTTGGAACCACAGACTAGAATTATTAATGTTTTTACCTAGAGAGGGCAGTCTTGACAGTATAACCTTCCCAACCAATATATAAAGAGAAAGATTCTGAGAATAATACCTGATCAAACAATTCAAACAGCTTAGCACTGGGCTGGTGAATCGTGCAGATGATGGACCTGCCCCCCTGGGCTAAAGCCTTCATCAACGAGACAACCTGAAAACATGATGCACTATCCAAGCCACTGAATAAAAGGAAAGAAGTTTGTTAGATCAACAGTTCCACAGGCATCACTGGAAACTAGCATATGTATTTGATACTTTAGTCTCTCACTATTCTCTTTTTAAAAAACGTCTCAGCAGCAACTTAATTTTATCACATGCCAATGTCATGCTTGTATTTGTCCATCACCCTTTCAATTAAGTTGGAAGCACGCCTGAGAATGAAAAACAGAAGTATTCTCAAAGCTGCCTTAAGAGGCTTCTACGTTTTTAGGACTATGGATTAAAGATGCTCCCTGCTTCAATGAAGAGATATATACTTCCAGCTCTCCCAGCCTTCTCTGGACTGATCACAGAATTTAATCCTACATGCGTTACATTCTTTCTTAAAAGTCACTCATGAAAAAAGCTTATATTCATGAGCTATCTTTGCTGGAAAAAGAAAATTCACATGCCACAATCTGAAAACAGCTTCCTCTCTCTCCTCCTTCCGCCTTCAGTTTATGTCTCCCTTAATCATTTCTAGTTCCATGGCCTGGAGGTTAGCAGGTTCCACCGTCAGCAGTGACCCAGGGCACTAACTGAGTACCTAAATCAAATTACTTCTTGGGGGCTGATTGAGCACTTACAAGCAATAACAAATGAACCACTTCCAAGAATTTAAAGGCGAATAACCTTTCTTTGGCATTGGTCTACCATATAGAGCAATATTGGTCCATCTTTAATTTCTGGCTTTGAAGTACCTGGTTGGTTCATCAAAAAACATGACAGGAGGATTGTTCACCAGCTCCAGAGCAATGGCAAGACGCTTTCTCTGGCCTCCAGAAAGACTCCCAGTCCTCGTGTTGCCACATGCGAGCAAGCCGAGGGCTGTCAATATTTCCTTTACCTAATGGAAACACAACAATGAATGTCATTTACATTTGTTAGCACAAAAGAAGAGTCTCTTTACTGTATCACTGATTTTCATGGAGAATCTAAACTAGCCACTGACTTTGTCTCACCATCACAGAATCACACAATGGTTGAGGTTGGAAGGCACCTCTGGAGAGCATCTAGTCCAATGTGCTCCACCTAGAGCACATTGCCCAGGACTATGTCCAGACGGCTTTTGATTATCTCCAGCAAAGGAGGCTCCACAACCTCTCTGGGCAACCTGTGCCAGTGCTCTGTCACCCTCACAGGAAAGAATTTTTTTCCTCATGTTGAGATAGAGCTTCCTGCGTTTCAGTTTGTGCCCATTGCCTCTCATCCTGGGCACCACTGAAAAGAGTCTGGCCCTATCCTCTTGACACCCTCCCTTCAGACATTTATACACCTTGATCAGATCCCCCCTCAGGCTTCTCTTCTCCAGGCTAAACAGGCCCAGCTCTCTCAGCTTCTCCTCATACATGAGGTGCTCCAGTCTCTTCATCATCTTAGTGGCCCTTTGCTGGACTCAGTCCAGTAGCTCCATGTCTCTCTTGTATTTGAGAGCTCAGAACTGTGCTCCATCTACACAGCGAAGCCTTTTGACCCAAATTCTACTTGTCCTTCCTTTATGACCTGTCTCAGTAGGACTCCTTTCCTATGAAAATTGAGCAAAGACCTTCAATAGCACCCACTGGATTTGACCCAGACATCAAAAGAGCTGTGCCGCAGGTGAACAGTTATGGTACAGTGAAACCAACAGACTTCTTTCAATGGAATGTCTAGGCTGTATTTACAAGGGAATGCAGAACTCTATAATAAAAATCAATACTTTCTGCAGAGTAATGACCTATTTGCACCTAATATCTGTTCTTCAAAGTCTGCCCTTCAAATGTAGCCATTGATTTTAGGTGCTTTCATTCTTCTCAGGGCCAATTCAGTTGTCACACATACTCTCAGATGTTCGGGACTTCCACAGGGCACAGTCTCCTGAAGGGCACAGTCTCCTCCAGGGTCTTTGGAGCAAAAGAAGAACAATCCCAGCTGCCATGAATTTTCTATTTCAGTGATTGTGGATCTGGCCTTGTACCCCTTTACGAGGAAAGGAGTTTTTTGGCATCAGTGGAATCACTGACATAAAAACAGCTGATTCCAGGCTACGTTGCTCAGGTGATGAAAGAAATAACCTTTTAAAAGGAGATATGGAAGCCCAGACATTTAACACTTCATTAAAGTGTAGGAAAAGGAGTCTGTTGTTTTTTAATGTAGTAATTGCTTGGATGGAGACAGTTTTCTGAAAAGGCAGCCAAAATTGTTTAGATGAACCAGAGCCTGATACTGCACTTGTCCTGACTTATTTCCAGGAACTGCAGGTGCCTACCTCTGTTGGTGAGAAAAAACAAAAACATAAACAAAAAAACACCAACTCTGGTTCTCAGGGGGAATAGTGGAACTACTTCCTTCCCTTTATCTCTAGGAAGGAGCAGACTTCTGGACATTATGGTACATGGACAGCACAAGCTCTGCCAACTTCCCTAAGCTGTGTAAATTAAAACAAGCAATATGAGGTCTGGTTCACTGGAGTTTTTTAACTTGTTCCTGAGTGCTTTAAACAAGCATCTGTAATCTTGCTAACACAAATGCATTTCATAAAGTTTATTTACAATAAACATTTACCTTACAATTTACAGCAATGAAATGAATGATTTATTCCTACACAGCCCAGTAGTACTAACCAGGAAATGACTGCACTTCCAATACGTATTGTACAAATGCATTCGAGATAAGTCTTTTCGTCAAAGAGCTATTTGCAATTACAGCGATAACATGAGTAAGTGAATTGGTTTGCTTGTCCTAACTTATTGTGGTGCAAATGAATTAAGACTTTTAAAGTACAAATAAATGCAACCACTGATTTGAAACAAACATATTTTCCAACACAAAATCTGTTTAGCTTACTAAAAAAGAATATTTGAGTGAATCAAAGAAATCCTATGCTACCAAACATATGTGGATTCCTGTAAGTCTCCCTCTCTAGAATTCTCTCTGATTTTCAGATCCTTTGAGACTGAAGAAATGTAAGATATTCCAAAAAAAGGTACACCTGGATCAGCAGAACTTCACTCCTTATGTGCATTTTAACAGCTTCACATAGCTTTTGCTGCCCCTAATATATGCACAATTAGGAAATAAATACAGACAAAAGAGCCATGAAAACAGCTGCTGCATCTTTGAAGTTGCCATATATTTCACATTTTGGGCAAGGGACATACTTTTTACCAGGTGTCTCGGAAGCAATTTTTCCTTCTCCTTTATAAACTTCAGCTTAAGAATCACGTTTCAGCTACTGCTAGAAGTATCTTTTAATAGAGAAGGAGACTCCTGAAATGGTAAGTCCAACAAGTCAAATTCAGGCTTCAATGAGATGCACACGAATAAGCAAATTTGGCATCTGGGGAAGAGCAGGAAGTCTCTCGTGTTCCTGAAACAGGGATCTTCCCAGAACAGCCCATACCAATCACAGCTTTCCTGCGTGCACTGCAGACAAGCCAGGAAAAGCGAGTGAAGTCTCTTGGAAGGAGAAACCTGGGATGGGAATCTATCTCAGCAAGGTTCTAGGTCCCACGTCACCAGCTTGAATAATGATGTAATCTAAATTACCCTAGGCCCTGTTATCCAAAGAGAGGCAATCTCCTCAGGAAAGAGCTTCAGAGAATAAGTCAAAATAAGATGCTCTGACTTGCCCCCTAACTGCTCCTCTCCAGCTACAACTTCAATCCACACAGGGCCAGCTGTGCTCCATTCCCACTCATCTGGCCCCTCATCTCCTTCTTCTTCCTGCAGGCTTTGACTTCAGTTGAGCCCTGTCCCCTGCACCATTTTTGCCCATGTATGGTCTCCTCAGTGTATGGCTTTAGGGGCACAAAATGCATCAAAATGAAAATTTGATCCTTCTTTCTATTTAGGAAAAAAACTCTCTGAAAAATCATGAAAAGCCCCAGACTTGAACTTTACAGGAATAAGTATAGCACAAATGTTGGGAGCCTTTTATGCCAATAGTAACTCCCTTTATATTGATGGGACATCTGAATCACAGAAACACTAAAAGATCTGTTCAGAGTAGCATAAAAGTCAATAGCAAAGGCAGAATTAGTCATCAGTTTTTTGGAAAGGGAAATCACCAGTTTAGCCTTGAAGCCGTACTATTGCATAAACCCCATTAGCCCTCAGTACAACCCTCACATACCTAGAAGTCTCCTCCTTGAAAAGGCAGAGTAAGAGAGATCATAATTATTGTCCTTGTTGGTATGGTCATATGCAGGACCGAAACACAGCTTGAAATTAGCAAAGACAAACCCAAACACTTTCTGAGCTACAGTTTCACTTTTCTAGAATCTCTCAACAACCTGAACCAACTCTGCTTTCATCAGTGCTGTGATTTTTCTATTTTTAGCTGCAGGCATAATCCTCCCCCTCCCCACTCATATTTTGTTTTGAAACACACTGTGCAGCACTGAACTCTTCCAATCATATGCCTCAGCTTGCTCTGGTAACTCTGCCCAAGCAGAGATAAACACCTCAGCTCCGAGTGTCCTTAAGCTATATGCAGGCTCAGATTTTTTAAGCTTTGCCTACAGATGCAGAAAGGGCTCATTTCCAATCCCTTTAAGTATAACTGAAATAATGAAATTTAGCTGAGAAAGCCATCTCACACACAAGCTAATATGTCAGAAGTCATTTTGTCTGGCCACACACCTCCAGGTTTTTTCTTTAAAAAGACAGTCCTGTGTCAGAGCACATGATGGGGAGGCACCGTGCCACTCAAATGGGTGAGAGAGCATGCTTCTTAGTGAAGCTCCTTTCAGTGCAGTTCCAGCTGGCTTACAAGCCTCCATGGGTAAAAATACACCAGGACTTCTCTCCTGCTCAGGAAAGCCATGGGCTAGTCACAGCCAGAAGCAGGACAGTGCAGTAAATGCACAAGAACAAAGTGTGCAACTCTCATTCCTGGTGCTTTAGAAAAGATACGTACATGTTTTAGCTTGGTTTCCTACTTGTCCACACCTTGTCCACCCGATGTAGCTTCAAAACACATTAGCCTGCATCTTCACTGTAATTGCGCTAACTTACCCAACTGAACAATATGATCACATAGCACATCCATTCTGCCCACTAGCATAGCCATAAAGATTAATACTTCAAATATGAGCACATCAGCTGCTGCAGCAATCAGAAGAACTACTGAAGTTTTTCATGAATCCTTGGAAACAGAAACTCCGCAGCTAGCTTCCACAAACTGTTGCCAGACGTGACTGACCTACCTGGCCATACACGAGAATGTTTGAGCCCTCAGATATGCATGTAAGAGAACTCAAGTGCTAATGTGCATTAAAAAGAATCCTAAAAATCCATGAATTCATTTGAATAGGTCTTTTACAATTACTCATTCAGTCCTAGCTTCAGGCATACTGAAAGCTACTTTCATAGAGATTGTACTACTCATTCACTCATAATAATAGCTGTCAATTTTGAGGTTATGCTTTATTCCATCATTACAAGTTTAATGCAGTTCAATGTTAGATAAAAATGTCACCTGCACAGACCTTATTTCATGGATTCTCAAAAAAAATCTCAATTTGAAGGACAACATACATACCATTTCCCTTCTTCCTTCATCTTTCTCTTGAAGTTTCAAATGAGCAGATACCTGGAATGGAATATAAAGGAATTCAGCTTTGAACTCATCGAAAGCATGATAATCAGTTTCAGTGGGCATCTCAGGCACATCCCAATATATCACTTAAACAATTTCTTCTAACCCAGAAGGGAAATTAAATGGTTGAGTTGAACTATAATGTTCAAATCACAAGCATCATGTATGCCTGCGCAGTAGGTGACTGAGGATATGCGGACTTAGGCAATCACTCAAGTATCTGACAAAAGCCGTACTAGAAAGAAAGGCCGTTCTGCAAGTCAAAGAAGTTGCGAGAAATAGAGGAGATGCATTTTGTTGCGTTGCCACTAACTTCCCAGGCAATGTTAGAATCACAGTTTCTCTGTGCTTCATCCATAACATGAGGATAACCAAAAAACTCCCTCATTCCCCAGGACGTGAACAGAAGAGTACACAAGTAAATAATCTTGCGAAAGATGCTATCATCTGCTGTCCTAAGAGGCAACGCCACAAAACATTCTGATTAATCGTTATTAGAAGTAATTAAATAGTTAAGGAATTAATTTTTGTCAGATCCTTGATTGCTGCATTTAGATACAGAGGGTATCATCTGGGTCCAGTTCTACAAAAGTGGTCCTATGGGATTCTGACTACAATATTCACAGAATCACAGAATGGTTTAGGTTGGAAGGGACCTCTGGAGATCATCTAGTCCAACCTCCCTGCTCAAGCAGGGTCCTCTAGAGCATATTGCCCAGGAAATTCATACAAACAAAGAGAAAAACTTCCTCACAGGGAAGAGCCTTTACAGGAAGGTAGCCACATAAAGCATAGCCAAGACTACAGTGGTCTCTTCTGAGCTTAAAATTTGTGAATTGATGCTGGAATACAGTATGAACAACCTTAGCCTTATCAAATGATAATATCCTCTGAGAAAGAATGGCTCCTTTCTCAAACTGAACAACAGACGCTTCTAGACTGATCACTCAAGCTGGCAATTAGTAATCCTCTTGCCACTATGACAAATGACAAGGAAAAGAATTTCTGTTGCCTTTAAGTCTCAGGTTTATTCTGTTCTTGTTGTTTTCCTGTGAAGAACTGGAAGAGATTTTATACAATGCCTTTATCAAAGAAAAGACATAAAAGAGAAGAAGCAGCAGATGGCCCAGGCTTAAAGTCAAAATAGCACTTTACAGTTACAGCATGGAAGACAGACAGAAAGGGAGATGTAAAGGTTATTATCGGTCACTCAGCCATCATTCAGGAAAAAAGATGCTCTCTGCAAAGGCTCATTCTGTACAGAATTATAGGCTTCATTCTTTGGGAGGTCTATGGAGTATAGTCTTAAATTTTCTTCCAAATCATAATACTGGTCACAAATTGAAAAACATAAAGCAAAACAAGCTCAGACAACCCATAGAAGTATGAGCCTGAAATGGAATTCAAGACATCATCCAAGTCCAGGCACTTCCATTGACTGGGATTAGACACAGCCAACATCTAGTGGCACCACCAGGAGTAGGAACATGTGTAATACACAAATGGAAATTTTCTGTTAGCCACCACCCCAAAATAAATTAGAGCCAGAAATAACGTTCACCATCATAGCCTCTTGGACAGTAAGATGAGGAAGGAGCATGTCATCTTGCATGATGTAACAGGAGACTTTGCGAAAAGAGCGCAGGTCACGAGGCTGTCCATTGATGAGAATTTCTCCTTTCATTCCCGTCTCTCTGAAATGAACCAAGAAAATAATCAGGAGTGAATCTTGCTTTCATTTGTTTGCCACAGGCCTCAGTTTGTGGAAGTCTTCAGTAACTAGGTAATTACTGTCCAGTATAGAATAAAACAGACACAGCGGATAGAAATCAACTTATTTTGTGATGATGTTCTCTTTCATGAGAGGCTTCACGCAGTTATGATGAAAATTTTAATTCGGGTTAGTACAGAATGTGTGCTGCCTTATATGAATATCTGAAAAAATATCAAGTCATTCAAGTGACTTTTTTTTAGATTAGTGTGTCTTGTTCCTTAAGACCAGAGGGCAACAACATAGAGCCACCTCGTATTTAGCCACAGAATAGCACGTTCAGGAAGATGAACCACAGTCACTTCACACATTGCAGTTCAGTCCAGAAGACTTCAACTTCCGGAAGTGTTGATAAAAAGGGCCATTTTTTTTCAAGTGCCTATAAAACCTAATTTTAAAATATCATAAACATAAGACACTGAGTCAGACTTATTACACAGCTAGAAAGGAAGAATTTTTTTGGTTTTTGGGCTTGAAATTGCTTCCTATTCTTGGATCTGACTTGTTAACAGATAAATCATAAGTGTCCAGAACAGGAAAAATAGAAAAATACAAACAATAAGAATCTAATTTTAGATCTGTGCAGTACTTGTTTTCTGCAAACACTGGGTAAGATCCTTCTGGTAAGATTTCTTCTGCTGTTGTCTCTAAAGAACCATCAGCCTAGTCGGTCCTCATCTTACCAGGCTTTTCGTTGGTACTGACCTGTATCCTGCCAGAATGTTCATGAGTGTCGACTTCCCAGCGCCAGAAGGACCCATAATTGCAACAAGTTCTCCACTGCTGAATTTCCCTGAAATTCCTTTCAAAAGGGTCTTGTAACCTGAAAAAAAAGAAAAGCTCATTGTCTGGTGGACAATGTTAAGTTTATTTCTGCTAAACAATGACGACAAAGTGACTTTAATAGGTACCTGCTGAGAGGCTGATGTTAAGATCAGCACACTGCAATGACTATCAAAAGCCAGATTCTGCGTGGGAGCAGCAACCTCCTCCCACTACACAAGTAGTATAGCGGGATTACGGGAATCCATTTATGATCAAGTACTCTTGATTCACTTGGAAATTTTCTAACAGGACTAAGAAGCCTTGCTGCCTTTTTCTACACATTGGTAGTATTTTGGTGGGATGCTGGCATTTCAATTACAATATTTAATATTCCACAGCTAATGGAAAACTCCATAGGCTTGGTGCAGAGCTCCCTGCCATCTCTGCACCTCCAGTGCCAGAGTGCTGCCCTCTCAACAAAACAATAATGTCTTGGAGAGCAACAGCCATTATCTCCAAGGAAAAGCACCATTCTTCTGTTCATTCCCACTAAAAGAGACATCACAAGAAACACAGCAAAAGGAGACATACAGGAAAAGAGAATCCTGCTTCATTCTCTTATCCTAAGAGCCCATCGTATGTGGAACTCCAAGGGCTTGTCTAGGCAGGGAGACAGACGATAATAACTCTGTAAAAATAACTTCCAGGGAAATGCTTATTCCAAATTAAGGACTTTTTTTTCTCATTTAGATTAATCCACTTCAGAAGATCATGCCATGATAAGCATGTCCCCAGGCAGAGCTGTCCTAGAATAACTACAATACCAACTTTAAATATTCTGCTTTGTTCCTGAATAAATTACCTTTGTTGGCAAACCCTAATTTAAAGCCCTGAAATCAATGGCTCTGTAGATGTATGCAAACTGGACACCAATGAGGATTCATCTTGTCTTGCATGATTCCCGTTTGAAGGCATACTGCAATCTAACACTTCTGCTCTCTTGCGCAGGAATTCAGGACCTCTAGTATACAATTCTAAATGATGAGCGGAGGCATTTTACTGAATTCAAGGAATCTATCATCTGGATAAAACTTACTATATTTTCTGGTAAGTAAAACAAGCAAATGGTTGACATTTAGTTAGCAGACATCTAGAAAACTAAAGTGCAGTAATATAGAAATTGCGGGTTGCAAAACATCATGGGTTACTTGGACTTTCATTATAATCTGTAATGATGATTCACAAATTTGTCTTCTCCAGTTCTTTAGATTTTGAGAAAGTCTTTCTCCTTCAGTGATCTCTAGAACATGGATAGGGAGAAGACTGGGTGGGGAAGGTGGGCACCTGACTGGCATTTAAACTTTTCAGAATCTCTTTCACTTTTATTTATCTGCTTGCTGGCTTCAGTTAAATGAACAATTACTTTAGTTAAACTCTAATCCTAAAATAAATATAAGATGTCAAAAATAATCCTGCACTATGCTGAAAATGTTTCTATAATTAAATGACAGCAAAAAATGGAGGGGCAGAAGATCCACTTACATGCAGTGCTGGGCTTTAGCAATCCATTTTGCCATACTGGTGTATATGCAGGCAGGCAGCATTTATATGCCATGGGTAAGCTATCCCACTGCTATGATTTTCATTAGCATAGGTTCTAGCTGGAATGTTGAAATGCTGTGAAAAATCGCTTTGCGAATACCTAGAAAATAAATGATGGATTCTCTTCTACTGCTTTCTTTTTCTTCCTAAACTCATCATTCCTTGTTCTCCTTTCATACCCACCTACCATTCTCTTCAGATCTTCATTTCTCTGTTCTCAGTTCACACACTTTCAATTCCACAGAGAGTACACTTGTGCATCAAGAATATTAATGCCAAAGGACCTCCCTAATCCACAACCAATACTCTTCTTCAAGCATTCCCCAAGTTAGGAGGAAAGTGAGAGCCACAAAAAGTCCCTCTAGAAATATTTGATTCTACTTTTTTCATGGCAAATGTGCTGGAAAATGTATCTGACCATATCTATCAAAATAATGGTTTGTCAAGTGTCTTTTTTTTTTTTTTTTTTTTGAACAGGTAAAAATCCTGTCCTGGACCTGAATGAAACAGCTTGTTTGGAAGCTACTGAGATATCACAGGTATGAAAACAGCATTCACATTGCCTATTCACAGAGCAAGTCCTGAGAACAAAAGCAAAGAGAATCTGCCAAAAAGAACAGCTATTTAGAGGACAGAAATCAATCGCACCTATGGCAAGGTCCAACAACCTTGTCCTTCATGCCAATGTCACCATTTTTTGGAAATTAGGATTTGAAAGAAAGGGGCAAGCAAGAGGTCAGACCTTTCAAATATAACAATATTTACTAAATAGGTTCTATAGAGACAAGGTCCTTGGTACTATTCCCTAAGCCTAATGAAGCTCTGCTAACTCCCAAGCCTATGAGGTTTGTATAATGGACTCAAACATCAGAATTCATGATCAATTATTACATGCATTATCCATACACGCACAACACACACAAATTACATGCAGTTGGAAAAATCTTTCTCACACTGGTCAAAAGCTGGCCAAGCTGAATGGCCATTAACATCAGTAGGGCTGGGATTTCATTCCCTGGGGCCCACATGTAGTGCAGCTAACCATGGTGTAAAGCATTTATTGGTGCCTATCTGTATTCTCTGTCTGCCCCACAAAGCTGTTCAAAACAACAGAACATCACATGGTAACTTTCTATGACAGCAGTTTCTACTGTATAGGTTTGTTCTGACCCAGATTTCCAGCGTATAGGATTCTTGTAAGAGTTTCATAATAGTCAGTTCATCACGAGTGCCAGGATCAGGATAGTAAATACTGCACATATTAATAGGAGTATAAAGAATGTGGCCAGTCATAAATCCTGAGAGAGAGAGAAACTCAAACACACAATCACCATCTGAAAATATATTTCCAGCTTACACACCATTACCTAAAATTGAAGCCACTCTTCTCACCATATATGATTGCAAGATTGAAAATTACAGCCATTAAAGTTACTTTACTAAACATCATTTCACAAATGATAAGCAGTTTACCTTTTAATTGTATTATCTTCCCCCTCATTACCAGTATTTGTTTCTACCCCTCTGCTGGAGATTTCTATTATAAGCATCTTATACATAACACCTAAATATGAGTGGGATGCATCTCTCCAACTCATTTGCGAAACAGTACAAGAATATAATTTAAAAAGAAACAGAAAAAAACTATTAATTTTAGATCCTTATCCCAATCATTGGTATTTCAGTCACTACAAACTCAAAATCATCTCTTCTTTTGACTGGAAACATATATGTAAGAAGCCTTTCTATTACAAAGGTTAACTTAGCAAACTAACCAAGAGATTTTACACTGCAGCAGTAGCCTGGTGCCAAGTATAATCCTTTATCAGGAATTAAAGGCTGTAAGTAACTATAGTCTTCTGTTTCAGAATATTGAGGCTAATCTTTAACTGAATCAGTTGACCTAAAACGTCTATATTGGGCCACATGTCTTTCACGAGAAACAGATTATGCATTTGGAGGAGTTTGTACTCTTAAAATACAGGGACTGTTTTACGCCCATCTGCTGCATATTAGGAATTTCTGACCACCTTCTATCCCAGTTTACTTGGCCCAGCTCATTTTCCCTAGGTCACTAGTTCATGATCAGTGCAGCAAGGAGGTTCAGTAGCCTAGGCGGAATTTAATGGAAGAGAATTCACCATAAGATTAATGCACAGGACGGGCCATACAGTTCTAATATCACAGTGGCTGTCTCCTTATTGCCTGGAGTTACATCAAGACTCAATTTAGCGTCATGACTTTCAGATGTTTCTCTGTAGAATTATTTTGGTTTTCAATGGAAAATAGCTTGGATCCTTTCAGTCTTCCTCTCCCAGATGTACTGTGACTTCATCCTCAAACATGTATTTAGGGCCCTATGCCTACGGGAATCTAAATATCGTTTTCAAGCACTACTTAAAATACTAGTTTCCCAACAGTACCTTAATAATCCATCACCAACTTGAACAACCGCATAGCAACTTCCTCAATACAACACACAAAAAATAAAATACAAAACGAAATTCAAATTGAAACAGAAATTTCAGGTAAAGTAAACATTTTTATTCTTAATTTAATCGCACATTAACTTTTAAGAGTTCAACCGTTCCTCCCGAGGAAATGGAGTTTGTTTATTCCTCTGTTAGGATTTCCTATGGAATGCAAAACTCTGAGCGCTGCAATAATACACCAGATTCACAGCCAAAAACACATGACCAGCTTCAACAGGCACCCATTCAAGCAGAGGATTTCCCTTACTGTGTGATTGCAGCAAAAAGCCCAGGGCAGCCCCTTGTTTAATGATCTCAGGAGACCTCTTTATTTGATGCAAAGAGCAGAGGAGCTTTCATTGCTTGAATCACCAGAAGTTTTGCTAATGGACTCAGCAATGGAGATATCGGTTGATGGTTTTATCTGCTTCTTTGTGGATTCTACAAGGATTTCGGGGGAGATTTAGTTTTATCATTTTCACAAAAATTATGATTAATCAGTACAAAAAAAACATGAGTAGAACTCCTACCCTTACACTGAATTTCTTCAGGTAAATAATATCTCTAGGTGTATATCAAAATGCTAAATTCATTTGCATTTCATTGTCAGTAGTATACTCATTTGCTATTCACAGAAATGTCACATACTCCTAGAACTTTCTAGGCATTTTAGCCTAATTCTGCATCCACCAGCAGGCACACAGAGCCCGCCTCAGCTCCTGGGTGAGCCCAGGGGGCTTTCC